TAACTCACCAAGCCCGGGGGGGGGGCCCAGGTTCTGAATTTGCTGATCAAAAGCCCACTGGACACACCAATAAACAAGCAGGGGCCACAGCCTCGTGGGGCGCCGGGAAGCCCGCAGGAACTCCGAGGAGGGCGGGGCAGGAGCCCGGCTCAGCTTGGAGGCCTGTGTGGCCCGGCGCTAAACACGACTGTTATTACAGTTTTAACGGTTTATTATGTAAAAGATATAATTTACACTTCATAAAATCTATAAAATTTCAAAAATTATAGATAAATTATTATTTTAAATTAAATCATAGACTCACCACATAGTCCCACCCCTGGGTAAATACTCGGGAGAATGCAAAGTAAAGATCCAGCCCTGGCCGGTGTGGCTCAGCGGTTAGAGCGTTGGCCGGTGGACCAGAGAGACCCGGGTTCGGTCCCCGCTAAGGGCACGTACTTCGGTTGCAGTTTGTCCCCACCCTGGTTGGGGTCGTGTGGGTGGCAACCACTCCATGTGTCTCTCTCACATCGATGTTTCTCTATCTTTTCCTCCCTCTCTCCCTCCCACTCTGTCTGAAGATAAAATGCAAAAATGTCCTCGGCTGAGGATAAAAAAAAGATTCAGAGAGACGTGTACCTGCCAAGTCACACAGCACTGTTCACAGTGGCCGGGGGAGGGAGGGGAGGATGGTCCGGACACCTGCCAAGGCTTGGACGGACCTTCAGGGCGTGTTGCTCGGTGGACTCAGCCACACACAGAGGACACACAGTATATGACTCCTCTTCTAGGAGGTCCCTAGAGGGGACCCACAGAGGCAGAATGTAGAGGGAGGGTGCCAGGGTCCAGGGGGTGGTGGTGGGGACGGGGATTAGTGTTTAATTGGGGACAGATCTCAGTTGCGGAAGATGAGAGTGTTCTGGAGATGATGGGGTGATAATGCCACTTGACCGTACACTTAAAAATGCTTAAAATGGTAACTTTTCTATTTTCGCCACCATAAAGAAATGCATTGCCCTATTAGAAAAAAGATTACATGACATATTGCATGTAATATAAATGCAGTGACTTACAAGCATGCATGTTAGAAGCAAAGGTGATAACCACGCGCAGGCAGCCCCTGGCATTTCACGACACCGCCGCCTCTGCCCGAGCCCCTCCCTCTGGCGCCCCTGTGCGTCCCCTGTGGCGGCTCCCGCGCAGCCCGGCTCAGCTCCAGCTCCAGGGTGTCACACGGCAGCTGGACACTGGCCAGGGGTAACCCCCAGAGTGCTGGTGGCAACACGCTAGGCAGCTGACCACGGAGGAGGCGCTGGCCTGGAGTGGGGCACTGTGGGGGTCAGAACTAGACAGCTCGGCGCACACGTGCGGGAGGTAGACACTTACGCACGGCGTGGGGGGGGGTCCAGGAGACGAGACTCAGGGTGATACCTCGGCGTTTGGCTGGAGCGCCTGGTTGGACGGCGGTGCCGTTGGTGGAGATGGAGGCTGAGGGAGCTTGGGGTCCGGGGAGGTCCAGCGGCCAGCACTCCAAGGCTCGGGAGCTCAGGGCGGCCCTACTGTGCGCCAGGACCCGGCAGAGCTGACTGTTCGGCCCCTGCCCTGGGGAGCCCTGGTCTGTGCCAAAACAAATGACCACTTAATGGGGTATCCTGTCCAAAAGCCTAGTGTGGCTGGGCAAACAGCCCTCATCCTCCCTCTGCTCCCCAAGCCTCCTGGAGCGGGGTCACGGATCCTGGTGTGTGCGCCAGAGGGCTGTTTCCGCTCGCCGTTTCCTTCCTCCCACCCTCTTCCCGCGCTTTTCCGGCCCCACTCCCCGGGCTTGCCCTGCGGGCTCTCCTCGGGCCTGCTCCTTCCCATCCCAGGAGGGCTGCAGCGGGACTGCACAGGATCCCCCATGTAGCGCCATCCCGGGCCTGCCGCTTTTCCTAGTCCAGCTCGCTGCCCGTTCCCTCAGGACTGTGGCTGTTGGGACAGCGTTTCCCTGGACAGGGTCTGTGGCTTCTTAGCCGTCTCTGGGAGATGCACTTGACCTAGAGAAATGACTCAGATGGGAGCCTGACGTCTGTGCTAGTGTCCTGGGGCTGCCGTGACAATGGACTGCCAACCGAGGGGCTGAACAACCAGAAATGGACTCTCCCAGTTCTGGAGGCTGGCGCCCCAAATCAGGGTGTCGGCAGGGCTCTACTCCCCCTGAAGGCTCCAGGGAAGAATCTTTCCTGCCTCTTCCGGCTTCTGGGTCCCGAGTGTTCCTTGCTTTGTGGCCGCGTCCTCCTGTCTCTGCTTCCAGCTTCGGTGGCCTCTCCTCTGAGCCCGTCTCCTCAGTCCCATAAGGATGCTCATCGTCGGGTTTAGGGTCCACCCTAATCCAGATGCTCTTCACTGGAGATCCTTGTCTTGGTTACATCTGCAAAGATCCCTACACCAACTCAGGTCACATTCTGAGGTTTGGGTGGACCTATCTTTTGGTGGGGCCACTGTTCACCCCACAACAAATCTCATGGTGGACCTGGGAGGTCGGTGGCCTCCCTGGTGTCCCTCTCGTCCCCTGTGGCCTTGGGAGAGTGTGCCATCCCAGAAGGCAGAGGCCTCACAGTTGCATTTTTCTTGCCAAATGTAAGCTCCTTTTTTCTCTTGCTGCTGCTCATTTTATCTGCCCAGAGCCCCTGCCAGGGTCTTTCATTCAGCCCCCGGGCCCCGACCATGCCCAGGAAAGAAGGGGGGGGGCCTTATTGAGGTCGTGGAGCCCCAGATTGGACACAGCCATCAGAAGTGATCAAAGGCCGGGCTCTGATTAAAGGGCTGGGGATGAATGATTTAAGCCGAGAAAGAGAAGGCCGAGGAGCGAGGAGCGACCGGATTGTCTTCCAGTTTGGAGAAGGTAATTATTACTTGAAGGGTGGTGCCCAGCTGTTTCCCATCTCCTCTGAGGACAGGGGGAAAAAGAAAGAGGAAATAAATGATGTACAATTAGCGTAGTTGGTTAGATACAAGGGTGAACTTCCTGGCCGGGAGTGTGGCTAAGGGCTAGGTTGGGTTTCCTGGAGGAGTGTAGGAAATCCCCTTGCCGGGAGGTGTCCAGGCAACAGGGGCCCCAGTGGCAAAAGCGAAAAGGGGCTGCGGGAGGGGGTGGACTGGGGGGGCTCTGGAGCAGTTGTGCCCACATGGGCTGCTTTCTGGCCTCGTAGGTCGACTCCTTCCTGCCATTGTCCTTTGGGTCCCCATAGGGGAGCGTTCTGGTGAGGCGTGCACCCTGGCAGGGCTCCCCACGGAGATAAGCCTCAGTATATTTAGCTGTGCCGTGAACAGCAGTGAAAATGCACAATAAGCTGAGCCTATGCTAATCTGGCAGAACCCATGCCAGCTCCCTGGGAGGACAATTGCATGGGTGTGTCCACACCCACCAGGTGTTTTTTATGAAAACACTGGAGAATAATGCTGTGGCCCAGGCTGGATGCCATCCAGGACACCACACATCTCCCCAGGAAGCTGTGCTGTGAGGCTGTTTCTTAGGGGCCGGGGACCACCAAACGCCCAAATCCGGTGGACAGGTATCCCAGACAGTTGAGCTAGGCCCAGGTGCTGGTGTTCAGACAAGAAATGCCCCGGCTGGTGTGTGGAATACATCAGGGGGCTATTAATGACAGTGGTGACTCCATTTCTGAAACCTGGGCTCCCAGGCAGACGAGGGTGTGTACACATCTGAAATGTCTGTGGTTTTGCAGCTCCGTGTCCACAAACTCACTTGGTTGAAAATAGTTCAAAATATCCAAAGCATGAGGGAGGGAGTGGCTGCTTTCCTTAAAAAGGAAAGACTCGATTTTATCTACCGAAAAAAGCCCACCAAACCTCGCGCCCTCTCAGCAGGAGGCCCGAGGGACCCTGGTGGCAGTCTGGCCTCAGCATCCCCTGCACCGCAGAACTGGGGGGGGGGGGGGCTGCGTGTGGCAGTGACCAGCCTGAGAACTAAGAGGAGCTGTGGGGCACTCAGGTGCCACAGGGAGGGGAGCTATTGCAGGGCCGCCCGCCAGCGCAGCCGGTCTTACTTCCGGCTGTGAATTCTCGCTGCCCCTGACTTTGGGCAGAGGCAGTGGGTCTAAGGTCCTGAGGGGAACAGGGACAGGCAGGGGTGTCTGACAGGCTCAGCCAAGGGGGTGGAAGAGGTGTGCCCCCACCCCAGTTGTCGGTGCCAGATCTGGATGGCCCTTCTTGGGGACCTGAGCCTGTTGCTTCTTAAATTCCAATTCATCCTTTTGTCCCCAAGACGTAAGTGCCTGGTAGGGAATAGAGTTTAATCAACGTTTGCTGAAGGGATTGAACGCGTGGAGAAGTGGAGAAGTTACTGCCCCAGAGTTTATGGGCGCAGACGGGGAGCAGGAGCCCCGCCGGCAGCCTCTCCTCTCTCCCCATCCTTAGGGCTTATCTAATAACTAGGGGCAGACCAGGTCTGTGCTCTGCATTGGAGAAGCCCCTTGCTGTGGGGGCGGGGAGAGCACAGGTCCCTGGATGCTCTGACAGGACGCTCCATCCCTGCCCCATGCTCCTGCTGGGCCAGTGCCTTCGGTCATCCTTCCAGAGGGTCCAGGAGCGACCCTGGGGTGGAAGGGTGGGGGTGGGGAGTCGCTGGAGGGGGGGGGTCCCCCTCCAGGCCACGTGACTCCTTCTTGCGCTTGCCCCTTGGCTCTTCGCCAGCCGGAGCGTTTAACCCTTGAGGGCGCGGAGAGCGGGCAGGCAGCGGCGGCCAACTTTGTTTGCTTTCGTAAATAAAACCTCCCGCAGAAGGAACCCTGCGCCCCAGGGAAGGGGAATAATCTCCGCCCCCCACTCCCCTAGGCACCACCCCCGTGTCTGCTGCCTGCCTCCACATCCGCCCACATCTGGCCGCAGTGGGGCGGAGGGGGTGGTGGAGGAGGGGGCCAGCCTCGTGCCCCGCCCTCCCCTGGGCGGGGAGAAGGGGGGACTCAGGTCGAGCGCCCAGGACTCGGCCTGTCCCGTGGTGGCAGCTCGAGCCCCAGCCCCCCAAGTCCCAGCCTTGACGGGCGGGCGGAGAAGCCAGTGCGAGCCCGGGAGGCCGGGCCACGGTGCGGGAACCTGATCCGCCCAGGAGGCGGGGGCGGGGCGGGGCGGGGGCGCCAGGAGCGGGAGGCCGGCGCCCGCCCGCCTCCCCCATTCATTCAGCCGAGCCCGGGGGCCGAGGGGCTCCGCGGCCAGCTCTGCACGGCGGGAGCGCGGGCGCGGCGCCCTAGCCAGCGCGCAGGGCCCGGGCCGGCCGGGGCGCTTCCTCTCCGCTGCCCTCCGCGCGTCGCGCCGCCTGCGAGCCACCATGTCCGACCCCGCGGTCAACGCGCAGCTGGACGGGATCATTTCGGACTTCGAAGGTGGGTGGGTGCCGGGCCGGCAGGAGTGCCCGGAGGCCCCTCGGGCTGGACGGGGCGCGGAGGGGGAGGCGGGACCCCCGAGGGCGCCCTCCCGCCTTGCCCGCTGCGCGCCCCCTGCCCCGCCCCGCGTCGCCTACGTGGAGGACCCAGTCCTGGGACAGCTGCCGCCCGGGTTTCCTTCCTTTTATTGTTGTTTGTGTGCGCAGAGCGACGACAGCCCACTCGAGGGCTCGCAAAGCTTCCTCGAACACCCCGGTGCAGTTTTCCTCTCCTCGGCCGCTCAGTCCCCGCCCTCCGGCGCTCACCCCGTCCCTCCCTCGGGTGCCCCTGGGTGCTCCCGGTCGGCCTTCGAAGGCCACGGGCCCTGCGGGGGAGTTGGTGACGGCCCTGCGCCCTGCCGGAGAGGACGAACCCCTCCCCCATACCAGTTCTGGCCGGGGCTGAGCCGAATCCGGACTGGGGAAGGCCGCCAAGTGGACACGGCGAGGTCCTGGGGGGCATCCCATCGTCCCCCATCCAGGCCTGGGGCCATCCTCAGCCGCCTCCCAGAGTCGGGCTGTGTGGAGAAGGGGGTGTCTGCGTGTGTGTAGGGAGTGCATTTTGGTCCCATCCCCCCTTCGGGGTTTACAAAGTGTGGAGAGACTTGGGCGGGGGGTGCTTCTCCCTGGGAGTGCGGTCCGGCATCCTGGCTTTGGGCCTGTGTGTGTGTGTGTGTGTGCGTGTGTGCGCGCGCGCGCGCTTTCGTGCGTCCTCGTGACTGCCCGTGGTTCTGCGTCCTGCGTCCCGGGGAGTAAATAAAGTGGTCGGAAGGGAAGCTCACACAATAGTCTCCAGCACTCGGAGCCGGATTTCTGAGGGGCGGGTCTGCCTCTGGTGGGACCTGGAGCCCCCGCCCCTCGGAGGGGCTCCCAGGCAGCCTTGGGCAGAGCCCTCTGGTGGGCTGGTGTGGGGGAGGCTGGGCTGAAAGGAATCACAGACGTCCAGGTGCCAGGCCAAGCTGGGAGGTCCTCCACCCTTCATGGGCAGAACAAGGGCTGGGAGCTGGGTGTCCAGAGCCCAGCTGCTCCCATGGCCCTGGGTTTGGGCCCCATTTTGGGGGGTTACATCTGGGGACCAGAGCCTGGCTGGACCCAAGCAGAGCCCAGCCATGGCGATTCTGGGCTGGGCCTGCACTGGTCTCATGAGGGGGTGTGTAGAAAAACGGGTTGTAGTCCTGTGGCCGGCACACCCTGAGCAGAGGATGAGTGTGGACTGGCTTATAGCAGTGTCTGCAGAGCTGCATGGCGTGTACCCGCTGTCTGGACACCTGGGGGAGCATGCTCCCCATGTCTGTCTGACCATCTGCCTGCCCCAGCTGGCCCTCCACAGCTGCTGCTCTGCTGCCGCCCCTCCTCAGGGGCCTTTTCATCTCCCAGACGTCCAGAGGCGAGAATCAGCCCATCTGGAGAGGCTGCCCCCTTCAGGTCTGCTCAGCGAGCAGCCAGCTGGGTAGGTCAGCTTGCAGGCCCTGACCCAGAGCATTGCACTGGCCACAGGATTTCTGGGGAAGAGTGGGCTTTGATGGGTGCCCTGAGGCAGGGTAGGGAGGTGGAGCTTTGAGGTCCAGTGGTCCTACAGCTGTCGCAGTTCCTGCCACGTAGGTTGGTGGTGCCTCTGCCTCGGGGTCCGTCCTCGCCTGCATGCCCCATCTGAAGATGCTGGCAGCCTCTGCGGCTGCCTCCCAGGCGGCTTCTTGACCCTCTAATTTGGTCGGAGACAATGGCCTCATTGAGACCATCCTAGGGCAACAGTTGGCAGCCCTGTAACTCCAGAGGGAGACTTCTCGCTGTCAGGGAGCAGCCTCGGACCCTCTGCTTCCCCATGCGCATCAGTCTCCCCGTGTGTGCCTGGGAAGTTCGAGGTGCTCTGAGGATGGGGGTTCAGGTGTTAGAGACCCCTGGCTTCCTGAGTGGTGTGCCTGAGTGAATGTAAGTGTGAGTGTGTCAGCTTGGGGACCAGAACGTCGGCCTCCCTCAGTGTCCCAGGAACTTGGGGGTTGGGGCCTGACAACCTTGGATGGAAGGACATGGGGAAGGAGAAGAGGGTACCACCCAGTGCAACAGTGGGTGACACAGGGCAGGGAAGGTCACGGCTGGCTAACCACAGAAGTCCTTATGGAGGAGGCGGTCTTTGAGTGGAAGTCAGAATTTGGCTGTGGGAGGCCAGAGGGAGCATTCCGGGTCGGGCAAGTCGGGGAAGCCGGAGGGAGCTGCTCCGTTCGGGGCCGGGGCACAAGGACGGGCCAGCGTATGTGGCTGTGGAGGGTCCGGCGTACCCGCCCGGAGCCTGGACCATCCTGGGGAAGCCCTGGAGGAGCTGAGATCCATCCCGAGGAGCGCCGGTCTGTTTCTAGGGGACTGGCGGGGGCCTCGGCCATGGTCGTCCACAAGGTAGGGCCAGAGGGGCCCGGAGGAAGCTACTCAGCGGTGTGAGCCGTAGTTCCCGAGGTCAGAGGACCTGCTCCTTCATGTTGATGACTGGAGGGTGCAGGCCCCGGGGGCCACCAGCTAAGCAGACTGCAATCCTGCCCACAGTGCCACTGGGGGTGAGTCCCAATCCGAGCAGACTGTGACCCTGCCACAGTGCCACTGCGGGTGAGTCCCAATCCGAGCAGACTGTGACCCTGCCCCGGGGCCTGGGGGTGTTTCAGGGACATTTGGAGGTAGTGGTGGTTTCCTTTCCTTCGGGGCAGCTGGGATGGGGTGTGGGGTGGGTGCCAGGGGCAGACAGGGAGCTGCCCTGGTGTGCGTGTGAGTGTGTGTGGAGCAGGTGCCCCGCGTTCTGGGCACATCTGCCCCCTGTCCTGCGGGGCACCCATCTTTCTCTGTCGTCTCATTCCTTGCCTGTTCCCCGCCCTTGAGGACCGGGGCGGTGACAGTCCGAGGGGAGGGTCAGCCTGTGTTCTAATGTGGACGTGTCTGTGGGGTTCAGGTCCCCCCGAGGACTGAGAGGGCATCAGTGACCTCCACGAACGCGAACCTCCAGCACCCGCCTGTCCTTCCCTTCAGAGATCCCAGGGCTCTGTGGACACCCCGCAGGGTGGGGGTAGGAGGAGTACTTGTATTGTGCTGATGTGACTTTTAGAGTCTCATTCCCCACGTTTCCCGGCACAAACGGGCCTGGAGGCGGCCCTGGCACCTGTCACCTTCCGCGTGATGGGGGGTGGGAGGGGTGACCTCGCTCAGGGTCCGCGGAGGCCCGGCCGTTGGACGCAGTGTTCTCCAGAGAATGCGGGCCAAGTCCGACATGGCACAGGCTGCAAGCTCGGGGCTCTGTGCGACAAGGCTGTCCCCAGTGCCAGCTGTGGGCCCGCTGCCCCCGCGGTGCTTGCTCTCACCAGAGTTTAGCGGAGAAGGAATCGGAGAGTCCTTGATGCCTGTGGAAAGCAGACCGGCGCTCTGGTCCCAAGCCCAGCTCTCGCCTAGGAGACGTCCGCCTCGTACACCCGCCACTGTCTCCTCAGAGGACCCTCTGAGCCGGCTCCGGGCCGAGACAGGAGGCGGGGCAGAGAGAGGGTCTCCTGGCTGCTCACCTGGGGCCCAGGTACCTCCGGGACAGCTGCCCGGAGGCTCCCCCCAAAGCATTAGCCTGTTGGGCTTCGTGTCCTGAGCAGGGGCCAGGTCACCCGGCGTCCCGGTTGTGAGGAGGGGGACACTCACGCCCGGCGGCACAAGCACACGTGCCTGGGCTTCACGGCTGGGCGGAGGGTCAGACCTGGGCTGGGAGGTGGGGGCGAGCACAGGACGCCCCACTCCGGGGCACGCCCTTCAGGAATGGCGTGGGAGGGCGAGCTGACGCTGCCCTTTGAAGCCGTGTGGATTAGGGCAGGCGGTTCAGCCCCTAAGCCTCAGTTTCCCCCGTCTGAGGGCCGTCCAGCACTGAGCCCGGGTCCTGCTCAAGGGAGTGTGTTGAGTTCTGTTGCTGCTGGAGCTGGGTGGGGGCAGGTGTTTGCAAGGGGCATGTGGGTGTGGGTGCCTCAGTGTTGGGATCAGGGTGACGAAGAGCGTCCAGGGGTGCAGACAGGGGCCTGTCTGGTTCCCGAGAAGCCTGCCCGGGGGCAGGGGTTGGGCAGACACTTGGGCTGCTGGCCGGGCTGTGGCAGCGACCCGGCTCTCCCCGTCAGAGGAGGCTGGGGGCGTGTGGGCTGTAGGGTTCCTTCTCCGGGGAGGCTGACCCAGCCTTCTCCACCACCCCCTGCCCCCAGGGCGTCGCAGATGGGTGGATGACTGGACTGTGAAGACAGAGGTGGGGTCAGGCCACCTGCCTCAGGCTCTGCTGGCCCCCAGCCTCCCCGAAAGGAGGTTAAGACCCCACAGGAACTGGTGTCCAGGAGGGGCATCCGCCTTGTCCAGCCACCCCCTGAGTTCTGATGGCGTGGGTGCTGAACCTGGGGCCCAGCCTGGCGAGCAGCCCCAACTCTGGCCAGTGGGGAGAGCCACGTGTCTCTCCCTGGCCACAGGAGCCAGTGAACTCTGCACCCCTTGCCCCACAAGGGCATGGGGAGCCTGGGTACGGGGTGGGGTCCTCGGGGGCCACTGTGCCTGGGAAAATAAACCCACCAGAGTGTGAGCCCCTGGGTCAGCATCTGTGGAGGAGGCTGTCCTGCTGGTCAGGAGCCCGGCAGCTCCTTCCTGACGGGGTATCAGCAAGGGAGATACGATGCGCAGGGGCTGGGCCTGCCCGGAGGAGCCAGGGACTTCTCTGCCAGCCCCTGGGGCCTCAGCCCACTCTGGGAGTGCTGTCGCCCTCACATCCTGGCGCTGCTGAGCAGAACGGGGTCCCCTGTTCTCTTTGTCCTTGCAGGCCCAGAGGTCAGGGGAGGTCACAGTCAGAGGTCAAACCTCTCTCTCCCCACTTTACCAGCTGAATGTCTGGGGGCCGGTGGGCCTGCTGCTCCGAGTCCCCTGGGGTACAGACAAGAGAGACCTGGGGGCCAGGCTCAGGGCATCCATGTTGGCCTC